GCATATAGAAAAAGAAATTAAAGGCAAGAAAAAAAAAAAAAAAAGATGAATTTATAACATAGAAATATGGCTTCAAGGAAGTTATTTGGAGCCCAGGCGTGATGCTCACTGTTACCCTCCACGGTGGGCACCGGTACTCTTCCCGCATCACTCAGTGGCAGAAGCGGTTCCCGTAAGGGAAATGTGATTTTATCCTAGGGATGCTCCTGGAATGGTGGGGAAAATGGTATTTCAGTGTTCATCTTGCAAGCTGTGTGCTGTCCTGGGTTGCACGCCAGGTGCACCAGGGCTCGCTTTGCCGTGCACTGGCCTGGGGGAAAGTGTCGCCTTGTGCCTCAGTTTCCCCAAAAGCAGAGTGGGATGCAGTACCTCAGTGCACGATGGAGAAACGCCGGCTGCTGTAGGACGGGGTCCTATTACAGCAGGAGAAACTCAAACATTTCCTTAAAGCAACCCCAGTGCCACCCTGTCACCTTTATTTGTTTGCTTTGGCCCGGAAAGCAGGGCAGGGTCCCCCCAGGGGCGTGATGGCTGTCCCCTACGGCAGCCCCTGCCCCCCCCGCGCCAGCCCGTGCCCCCTCGCTCACGGGTGGCACCCGTGTTTATTTACCCTTTCATCACCCCATCACCGTGCCCTGCCATGTCGCAGGCGCCAGCCCGCGGGCTGCCAGCCCTGTTTGATTTGGCAGGAGCCGGAGATTAACCTCTGGCTAAAAGAGCCCCGTGCCAGCCCCACGTCTGCCCGGGGTGGCCTTGCGTGCTCTTAGAGCATCTCCTGTGGAGATTTTTTGGTGGAGCCAGGGCTGCCTGCACCGCTTGATATCGTAGAAGGAGAGCATGCTATTCTGCTGGTGGGAATGGTCCTGTCACCTCCAGGTGTTGCCACCAGGCACCCGTCACCCTCGACTTTCTTGGCTCTGCTCTCCAAAGCCACGATGCAGAAGAGCAGGAGCAGAAAAATGGCAGATCATAGAATCACAGGATGGTTTGGATCAGAAGGGACCTTAGAGACCACCCAGTCCCACCCCCTGCCATGGGCAGGGACACCTCCCACTAGCCCAGGTTGCCCAAAGCCTCATCCAGCCTGGCCTTGAACCCCTCCAGGGATGGGGCATCCACAGCTTCTCTGGGCAACCTGGGCCACTGCCTCACCCCCCGCACAGGAAAACATTTCTTCCTCAGATCCAGTCTAAATCTGCCCTCTTCCAGTTTAAATCCATTACCTCTCGTCCTGTTGCTACGTGCCCTTGTAAAAAGTCCCTCCCCAGCCTTCCTGTAGGTCCCCCTCAGGTACGTGTCCGCAAGCTGCGGGTCCCGCGTTGGGACTGATCAGCTCAGGAAGCTGCACATTTATGATGTGAGCGGGCAGCCCTGCTTTGGGGTGCTCTGCCCAGCCAGTATCGCTTTCTGCCCTCGGCGGTGTTATTGCATCTGTCTTCTGGCCGTACCGGGGAGCTCGGGCACCGAGCAGGATCCCTGTGCTGAGCTCTGAGCCACCGACCGAAGAAAGGGGCTCTTCAGGTGCCGGCCAGGAGTTTCCATTTCAGCCTGGCTGTGCTCACTGTGTTATCCCAAGGAAATTGCAGATTTGGGCTTTTACTGGTTCCCAGTCTCCACGGCGGGTTTCCCAGCCCAGCGGGACAGTGCTGCAGCTCAACGGAGCGGTGCCAGCTCTGCCGCCCTGCCCGCTGCCACGGGGCCAACTCACATAAAACTTGGATTTTTTTGGCGAGTAGCAAACCCTCTGATTTCCAGCTAGACGTTGGCAGTGAGAGGGAGAGGCTTCAGCCCCACACATTCCTGTTTTCTGGTGAGTTTTCATCGATTCAGACCGCAGAAGGTGAATTTATTGTGACTTTCTGCCCTTTTTCTCTGAGTATTTGGTGGAAAATGGGTGCTGAGCTGCCACGTGAAGGGCGGTGAAAGCAGATGGCAGGGGATGTGGCTGGCTCTCAGGATACTCAAAATTGGGGTTTTCTTTAGGAGGTGCCACTGCTGCTGCCCGAGGATGGGTGACAGCGACGGCACCGTGTCACTCTGCCACCGGCGGTGTTCCGGCTGGCTGCCCTGCCACACGTGTTTCCTCCCAAGCTCACAAAAACCTGTTTTCATGCTTTAATCAAGACCTCATGCAAAATCCCCGCTCTCCGAACGCTCTCTTCATGCAAACGCCGCGCGGGAGAAGTGCGAACAGGAC